CTTCCTTTTCCCTGCTGACTCAGTTCTGCTTTTACACTTGGTCTGATGCACTGATTACTTGGTGCACTTGGAAAGCATTTTAATAGCCTGTCGTGAATGAAATGCGTCACCTGTCTTGATACAATAAACTTAAAAGAACCACAACTTTTCGGTGGTTTAACTGAGCATATTATTGCCTTTATCACCTTCCACCACTCAAACCTCATTTATGCTCCATTAGCAGCATGTTTCTATATAGCTTTTGTCTTTTTCAACCTGTGGACAGAATGCACTGTCTTGCATACTCACAGTATTAATAAGACACATCATGTTGATATACAAACTTAATAATATATATTGGTGCCCTGTCTGTTTAAACAAGTAATGCAGGATCTTGGACTTTAGGATTCACTCGTCTGAAAAAGATTCCAACAAATTTGGCCACAAAGCTGGAAAATATTCAGCTTTTAGTGCAAATCAATACTTCTAAAGAAGCAGTTCAGCACTTCTTTAAAACTTCTGTCTTCTGAATTGACGCAGAATCAAGACTTCCCTAGAAAACACTGACATCACTTCCCACACATACCAACTGTAGACTTCAGTGAAGTGATAAAGGTGGAGCCTGATGTTTAAAGGCCTTTTTGTCCTTCTTTGACTCATTGTGATTAATAATGTCATGGCAGGACCTCTTTTTAAAAACCTTCTTTCTGTTCTCCTCTGTCCCTTCAGTGCAGCGTTGCTCTTCCAGCTTTGGTGGGAGGGTTCACTGCACGCTTAAATTGGACCATGACCTCATTGTGTCGCAGCTCCGCTGTGCTCTGCTTGTCCTGTTTGTTTGGATTGTGGTCACTGTCTCCCTCCCAGTTACCTTTAACCCCGTCTACCCTGCTCGAAGTGGAGAAGCTGACACGCCCACATTCACACACACGCCTGCTTCGTACTAATATCACTTTAATCCTGCTGTTTCTCTGCTTAAACTGGTTAATTAGGACTTTCATCGGGAAACACATTAGAGGGAAGGTGTGTGGAAGCATTGAATTGACTATTTAAGATGAGGTGAGGACAGCTGATGTAGATCAGCAGGGTTATCTACTGACCTACACGATCTCCCACAAACAAACACAAACTCTGCAGAGTCAGGGAAGGAAGGATTCCCCTTGAGGGAGTATTTCTTCTCATATCCCCACTCACATCTTACCTTCTTTCATTTTTGTCCTCCCCGTGTGCACATTGAGATGGCACATAATCTGCTTATCTGTCACTTCCTGCTAATAAGCTTTGACTCGTCTAACCTAGCAACCACTTAAAGGTGAGACCGATGGTGGAAAAACCCCAGCAGGTCAAAATCAATGTCACGACACTCAGGTAGACACAGGTATTACCAAGTAGACGAAAGCATCTGTGAAACAGGGACTCGAACTGTTGTGACTTTGTTTCTGTGCCTGTGTGACTGATCAGATCTGCTTTAATCCCAATGAGTCAGTGTCTGGACTTATTACACGGACAGATTACGATCAACAGGGTGTCAGGAGGTGACTTCAGAGGCGTGTACTGTAAAGTTCAACATAACCAGGCTTTCTTGACAAAACCTAAAACAGGTTTTGTCAAGTCTCTCACAGCACAAAAGGAGTTGTTGACTGAGGTGGAAAACTGAGTATTTGGAGCTTTCAGCAAAAATACCAAATTGAAAGATCAGGTTGGGCCAAGAAATAAAAATAAATAAAAAAGGTTTATTTTATGTGTCACAGATTTAAGAATAAAAACTAATTATTATTATTAAGGATTGTGTTGATCATAGTGTACTAATTAATGAAGGACTATAGCAGTACCACAGTGCTAAAACTGTACATACTTAGGTGTCACTATAGAGGCTGAATAATAGCTCAGTAAACATGCATGCATGATCATTTTTATTATCTTGTTTTGTTGTTTGCAGTGATTTCAAATTGCTTATTTTTATGCAACAACTTGAAACCCCAAAAACCCTCAAAAGGTAAAACAGTAATTTCTTACTTTTGAGAACTCAAACAAATGAAGCTAAAAAACAAGCTAAATTTTCTTTTAATCCATTTGGTGACCTACTTCAACTCATAAACCATCAATAAATGCACAGGATTCATAATTTCAGGCAGTGACCGCCAAGTTCCCCCTGAAAAGATCCCCATATTTTCTTTTGTAATCAGGTAAGCATGCATTAGAAGAGTAAAGTAAATGTAGCTGCAGAGAAGTAAATCTGTCAGATTAGTGTTCTCCTTAAACATAAAGCACTTTAGCGCGGACCTAAACTGGCGTTGCTGTTTTTTCTCAGAGCCATAAACCTCAGTGCTTGCACATGCTGTATTGGCACCTTGTCTTTACTTTGAGCACTGTGTGCGTGTGTTATCCATATAAGGGTGTATGTGCCTTCAAAGCCTGCCTAGATTCTGCTGTGCGTGTGTGTGTGCGTGTGTGTGTGTATGTGGTTTTTAATAGATGCTGGGGAGAGCTGCACTATGCCCATGTAAGCTCAGACTGCTGGGGAATTAAAGTCTGTCTAGAGCATCTGCACTGGCACTCTCATATATAAACAGAAAATAATAGAAATCAGGTTTAAATTCTGCTTTGAACATCTGGAATCCACTGCTTTGAGACTTAAAGTTGTAGCTTTAAAAAATTATGTGACTTGGAGTAAAAAACATCTGTGGAGAGGAGCTGATTATTTACTCCGTTGTTCTATAATCTGCTGATAATTTTTTGACATTAAAATTTGAAGATGTCAAGTTCTCGGCCACACAATTAATTGGTTTTATTATAGGAAGACAATGTTTGGCTTTTTAAAGAGTTTAGATGAGCTGCAGTGAGCTTTCAATAAGTCAAAGCGGTTAGACCACAAAGGCCAGGCAGAACATCCATAGGATTTACCCCCTTATAGTTCTTATAAAGGAGGATGCTGCTCTTAGAATAAAACGATTTTTGTTTTACATGTTACAATATTTTTGCCATTTTAAGATGGGAGTCTTTGGATATTGATTCACTTTAGAGTTAGCCTAAAGTGGCAACTAGAGGAACTGCAGTCTATAGCACTTATATGTTGGTTGTTGCTTGGGTACTTCCCCTGAGCCCCAATTGTAACACATGGAGGCTTTCCTGAAATGTTTAAGGAAACATTTAAACCTTCCTCGTGGTCATTTATAACTCCAAAACATCAGTATTCAGGTTTAAAGTGGGTAACAGCTGTTATTTGAGCTACATACAGTATGAATCACTTTCTTACCTCTGAAAAGCGGCCGTGTGTCTTCAGAGGCTTCTAGAAACCATTTTATTTGGCTCTGAGGTCAACATCCCTGACTTTACAACCCATTATGTAACGTATTTGTTTCATGTGACCTGAATTACAGTTTTACGCACGTAGCCTGCAGTTACATATAATGCATTCTCATTTAGGATTCATTAAAAGGGTTTGGATGTGTATGTTTGTGTTCTCATATTGGTTCTTTTTGTCTTTATTGTGAACATTTCCTATCAGCTGACCTAAGTTTGGACCTTCCCCACCCTCTGGCCTCCCCCTATCTTCTAGGGTTATTTATAAAACCACAGTGCTGATGTGTGATCTGCGACTCTCACAGTGAGGTCTGTTGTGTGGCTGACTTGTCAAACATACATGCCACACACACATCACTGGCTGTTTGAATCGGTTATGCATGCTCTTCAAGTCCACGTGGCCTCCGGTCAGTCAGATGAGGCGTCTCTCTCCTTAAAAACACTTTTTTTTTTTCTTCTTTTTTTGTGCTGCTTATGTTATATTTTCAAATGCGATTCTCATGAAGTGTTAGCTCTTTCCTCCAGGATGTTTTAGTCTAAAATTAGGAGTCAGTCGCTTATCATGAGACCTACACTGATGTAAAAAGGTGTTTTTGTCATGTACTCGCCCTCCAGTCAGAGCTGTTAGTTTAAAAAAAATAAATAAAAAAGCAGACACTTGACACCTGTTCCTGTTTATATTCACAGGAAGGTATATTTTGACAAAATATATTCATGACAAGTATAAGTGGGGATTACATTTTGTCTGTTGCAGAGCACTTATATCAACAAACATGATCTTAACAAGTTTACTCTTCTCAAGCTGATATGAGGGGGCGGGGCCACACAGAAACCCCCTTAATACTCGCTGGTGTTATTATGATGACGTATTGTAAATACGCTTATACTCCTTGCTGCCTTTTTTTTCCTTCTGACTTCTTGTTATTGTTATAAATCAAATGGTAAAGAAGCAGCCACTTCCTGTCCTCTTTTTACTTAATTTATTGAATTTTTTTTTTTTTTTTGTGTAATAAAAAAAAAAAGCTGGCTTGTTGCACGTATAAAACTGGGCTAAATATGATTGGGTTTAATACTATTAAATAGCTTTATTTATTCATTTATCCATCCATTTTCTGCCTGGGAACACCGGATAACCAGATTATATCATCAAAATTTAATAAGCATAGTATAAAAATCAGATGATAGAGGTTAAAAAAAATGCTTGATTTGATTTATGTTAGCATGACTTATTTGTTAGAATCCTTTAATTTTTTTGCATGATGAGAAAAATATGAAACTCTACACATTTCGAGCTGTCGGGGTGCTCGTTGCTTTCCTTAATGAACTTAAACAGAAAGGAGGATTGTGCAGAAGCAGAGCTTCTTCTTGGCAGCTCTACACTCACCCTAAGCACCTTGGAGCTCTGGTTATCTGTTTTAAGGCTTGTTTATAAAGAGATCTTTTTGGTTTTAAAGTTGTCTCACCCACTTGAAACCAACAAGAGATACAGTACATTATGTCAGAGTAATGTGCACAGCTTTGTAGTATTGCCGTGTATCATCCTGTAAAATCAGAAAATAAAACGCTGGTTCTTGATTTGGATTAGAAAGAATTATTCCCTCCCTCGTTTTTGTGTCCCACCGCTGTTGTCTAAACAGAGGATGTATTGTTTTAATAGTCCTGGCTGGTTTGTGACTTATCATGTCGCGTTTCCTTTCCTTCTTTGTCCCTTTTCTTCTAAGGATGTGGAGAAGGAGAGAGAGTTGCGGACAGAGTTCAGCAAAGAGGAAATCTGGCAGAGAATCGAGCAGTACAACTTGCTAACCAAAGACCACCTTAAAATGACGCTGGTGAGTATAATATGCACACACGCACACACACTCACGCAAACACACCTTTTAAAAAAACAAACCCCATCAACCAGGGCTGTCTTAATGGTTCCACTCTCCAGACTCCTGCAGAGCTGTGCAGGCTCTAAATCTCAGATTTTGAAGTTTATAATGTTGCCGTGTTACCTCTGCCTCCCTCCTGCTCCCAGCATTCCTCAGTGCTCGCATCAGAGTGATGTGATGTTATTCCTGCTATTGTTCTCGCCCCGCAGTGTTTTCATTGGCAGCGTGACAGGTGTCTGAAGTTGTCTCTCTCCACTTCAACTCAGAGTGAATTTCAGTAGAAATGAGAGATGTCAGGTGAAACTGGGGTTTTCTGGCCGTTAAAGCACCACATGAAAGAATGCAAGCATTTTTGAAGGAGCGGCAGGTTACAGAGGATGTTTCCTGAGGTTTTTTTCCCTTAGTCATGGAAAATCATCTATTTTCAGACAAGGAGTTAAGCTGACCGCACTCTTAACAGATGGGAAACGGCACATCTAAAGGCCAGTAGATTCTAGTCTGACACTCAGAGGGGAGCCCAGACATAATAACTGAGTCTGTCCACTAAAAATCACATTTTAACTGGCCAATAAAAAGTTTACATTCATTTATACATTTGAACATATGAGGTTTTAGAATATAAAGACAATAAATGGACAAAAAAGCTGCATAGACACATAATATTAGCTTATATTGGTCACTCATGCCCAAATCAGCATGTATGTAATGAGATAAAATGCCATACTACTAGAGCATTATATAAAGATTAAAACAAAGTGTTGTCTAAGGCTAATCTGTGCAATTTTCCAGTTGATAATAAAGTCTGTTGGGAACTTGAGCTACCTTTAAACACTCCATTGTTAATTACTTGTCATTGTTTTGCTTTTTTATAACTGAGAAAAAAGACAAACTCACTGATTAAGGAGATAATGATGATACTTTCCAAAATATTTTATGCTGAAATGAGTCATAACTCAAAGTGGGTGTATTCATAAGATGCTCATCGTGAAACTTTAACTTTCACAGTCAGTTTGTTCCACAGTCATGATAATAATGTCTGTAAATAGGTTTCAGAGCTCACATTCAATCCTTTAAAAAAAAAAAGTCTAAATGTTTATTTATATTTTAAAAAACTGAGAATATTTGTTACTTTTGCAGTTAATAGATCATCAGGACAGTTTAGAGCCGATTGCTCTGCATATTTTAAGTAGTGAGTGGATGAATGGGTAGTTTCACTATGAGAAGCCTGCATGTTTCTGTTTCAGCACACCTTTTCTGTCCAATTTCAGTCTTCATTCTTTAGGATTTGTCTTTCTTGTTCATCCCGTTTTTGTCTTTTTATCATTCCATCTTTGACGTCTACTTGTTTTTTTACTTCTCTTCATTCTTGGCCTCTTTGTCTACTCGTGACCTTCACACACACACTCCTCCCAGCCCCATATGGAGTAATGAGATTAAGATAGTCTTCCTCCATCTGGGGCCATCTGTCCTGCAGGTCACACTGGGCTTATTGGGTGAACTGGGCTCACTTAGAGAGATCATGTAGCAGCTACCATAGTGGCCACATTAAAACATTAACTCTGTCTCTGTCAGGGTGCGGGCGGTGTGTACACGGGTTTCATCAAGGTCCAGATGGATTTGCGGAGGCCAATGACGGTGCAGGGAAGTCAGACAAGAGCTGGGGAGGCCTTCTATCTGCCCCAAGGAGTCTCCAACACCCTTCATGTCAGCTCGAAAACCACAGTCAAAGAGGTTGTTAATGCACACGCAAACACACACACATGTGAACACACTGCAGCCTGCTTAATAGGTTAATTGTGATCTGATGACAGACCGGTTGAAGTCGAGAGACAGACAGGGCTAAGTTCATTGATTTCACTCAGTTTTGTATGTTCTTTATCCTTTTAAGCAATAAATTAACGACAAAGCAACACAAAAATCTTCTAGAAGAGCTGTCAGAGTAATATTGACGGGTGTTTTTCTTTCTCGCGTGTCTTCAGGTGATCGTCGGCTTGCTGAGCAAATTCACAGTTGCAGACAACCCGGCTAAATATGCCCTGTACAAGAGATACCGGCGGGAGGAGCAGGGTAAGACTGGGTGTGAGAGACGGGGTTTCATGCCACTATTGCCACGCTCGGTGTGTGTGTGTGTGTGTGTGTGTGTTGTGTGTGTCGTGTTGTGTGTGTGTGTGTGTGTGTGGTGTGTGTGTGTGTGTGTGTGTGTGTGTGTGTGTGTGTGTGTGTGTGTGTGGTGTGTGTGTGTCGTGGGTGTGTGGTGTGTGTGACGTCGGTGTGTGTGTGTGTGTGTGTGTGTTGGTTCCCCTCTGTTGATGCCAGAGGCTCTCCCTACTATAACAGCTCACCAGGGATACCCACACATGCAGATATAAATACAGTGCACATCCATGCTGTGAATGAGCAGCTGTTACAGGCTGTTGGGTGTCACACGATGTCTTTCAGTGAGGAGAAGACAGTTTATTAACCTTATGCATTGATTTAAAACTATAAACACAACTCACAGATGCTTGTTTGAAGCTTGTGAGTCATTTCAACTCAAATTTTTATAGATTTAGAGTGTTTTTGTGTGTTTTCTCCCCCTTCTTTAAACGCTCCTGTTCTGGTTTGCATTCATGACTGGAGACGTACAGCTAATAAAAGTCAGAGTCTAGACAGACGCCTGACTGCAGACACTTGAGGACTTTTAATGAACTTGTCTGGTGTTTCAGGAGAAAAGTTAAGGTGTCTGAGATTTAACTGCGGTCTGGAAATGTAGAAACATCTTCGACTTTGTTTCAAATTGAGACGAGACGACTCACGATGTGGTCGAGGAGAACTTGGATATGTAAAGAAGAGAATCATTTGAACCAAAGCTTGTAGGGATGTACAGGGTGCAGAAACATCTCCTTCAATTGTTTTGCTTCTGCTCACTGTTTTTTCTTTAGCTCTTTGCTTTTATTTTAATCCCTTCTGAAAGTTAGAAAGCCTTAAATTGTAAATCTTCTAAACCAATAAATGATGGTCAACATACAAATATGCAGAATTTGTTAGGAAGAGACAAAAGATGCAATTGTAAGCGACACACAGTCAGACTGTTTTCATCGCTGTCGGTTAGTACTGCTTTGTCAGAAAACCGGTCTTTGTTGTGTGTGCTGTGGCATACATTAAGGCAGAAGTGATGCTGATTGGTCACTCCTTTGAGATTTTGTTAACGAGCAGGGTTACTGGTATGCCAGTGCCCTCACTGGCATACCAGTAACCCTGCTTATTTAACCCAAACTGCAATCTTTTCCTAACCCTAACTAAGTAGTTCTAAAACACAAAGTGCTCAAAAGGAGTAGAAACCAGAGTCTTCTGGCTGTTAACCCAAGAAACGATGCCCCCAGCACTCTCCAACCTCCTTACAAGGACTTTGCATCTTTGTTAAACATGAACAATACTTTTGGGGCCAGAGGGCTAAAGGGCACCTTGCAGAAGGAACATCACAAAGTGTCACTGGGCTGAGAACACACTGATGAAGCATGAGGTCTGTAAATGAATATACACACTACCCTGACATCCTAATTACACCGTAAGCCCTGAAAAATCGGCTTTTGTCCTCAGATGCTGTCAGCAGACAAACCGATGAGTTTTCAGATTGAGGTTTGGAAATATGTGAATGTCAGAATAATCAAGCCTCTAGCACCTTCTACATCTTTTGCAGATGTAAATACATTGCTGGCAATAACAGAATCTGTCCCTCACTGTCTGTTCCTGTAAACTACCGCATGGTAATATGGCGCTCCCATCCTTTCATCCTTTGCCAAATCCATTTATATGTGCACAGAGGAACAGCTGCCTGTGGTTGCATGCAGCGTGCATACTGTACAGACTAATTAAATCTGTTTGTGTGTGTGTGTGTGTGTGTGTGTGTGTGTGTGTGTGTGTGTGTGTGTGTGTGTGTGTGTGTGTGTGTGTTTTGCAGTTTATACATGCAAGTTGGCGGATGCTGAGAAGCCGTTGTTTCTTCGCCTGGTGGCGGGACCCGACCCAGACCTGCTCAGCTTTGTCCTGAAAGAACAGCAGACGGGAGAAGTCATGGTAACACTGATTATCACCACATTTCAGCTTTATTGACATCTTCGTGGCCTCTGTGCTCTTTCGTCTCAGAGTTCAGCCATTCCCAAACGAGACGCTGCTGTGGCCCATTTCAAAACTTTAAAATCTAATGCACAATTCTTTTGTGTTTTCATTTGATTTAGATCTTCTGAGGATTTACTTATTGAGGCTGACCTGCCATAAACTGTTTGATCTCAAGTATCTCCCAGCATTTGCTCTTAACAAACCTATGAGTTTATGATTTTTTTTTAAAAAGGCAGAAAATGAACAAGTACCTTTTTTTTTTTTTTTTTTTTTTATCCCCATGACTTAAATATTCAATCACAATTTTTAAACAACAATGACAAAAACTGGAAAACTGGCAAAGAAAGTGACTGTAAATTAATTCTGTAGTACCTTTACAGCCCAACAGGGGGCCACAGTGTTTGGCAATCACCATCCTAGTCTTTTTTCCCCCGTTCCTTTTAAATCTTTTACTTTAAGTTATCATTGTACATTATTGTTATCATTCTATATTCAAACCTAGCAGCTGACTATTTAAAAAAATTGTTTTCCTAGTGAAACTTCTACGACAAACTTTTTAAAAAACGTGTTTTTAAAAAGTAGTAAAGGTGCCATTGTTGTTATCCCAAGATGGATGCTACGCATAAAAAGAGAAATAACCACTCCTACTGTACTATCAAGCATCATCCATAGACATATACTTTATCAATTAAAAAGGAAAAAACTGAACTGAGTGAAGTTTTCTTGCTTTTCTCCTCAGTGGGATGCCTTCTCCATCCCTGAGCTGAAAAACTTCCTGCGGATCCTTGACAAGGAGGAACAGGAGCAGAAGGACGCAGTAATTCGTCGCTATGAAACCTACCGGCAGAGACTGCAGGAGGCACTGCTGGAGGTCAGGGGGCCTTCTTAAGAGGATATAACCTCCTTGAAAAAGGACTACTGCCCCCTAGAGGGACGAAGGGGATGTTTTGTTTTGTTTTTCATTTTTAATCTCCTGGTGTACATTTTGATGGAGGGAGGGATGTGAACACAGAATCAGGAGAGAGGATCCAGCACCTGGAAGAAGGGATAATAAAGGATGACAAGAGGACAGAAAAAAGAGACTGCAAATAAAAAAGACGAACAGACAGAATTTTGGTTGCTGGATTCAAGATTTCAAACTGCTTCCCGCTCGGCTCCGTCTGCCTGCAAACACCAAAGATTCACTCACTGTGCCATATCCATTCATCCTCTTCACTGTTCGCCGTCCATCCCTCTCTTCTTCTTCTTCTCTCACTCTGTCCTGCTGTCACATAATTTATGCAGTTCATCCTTTTTGTTTCCCTCACCTTTTTATCCTTTGAACTTGTGAAAGACTCAAGGCCATATGTTGAATTATTTTTATTTAATTTGTGTGTTTTAAAGGTCTGTACATATTTTTTTTTTTATTTATATGGGTGAAGCTTTTTATTGCTTTTTCTTTTTCTTTTTAAAACAAAGTCTTATTTTTGTTTTATTGTAGAGGCGGAGCAACAATCTGCTTGTTGACACAGATGCTGAGAATAGTTTTTTCAGACTTCAGCAGGACACAGAAAATCCAAACATCAGAGCATGAAAGACCATTTAAAAAAAAGTTATTATCATAAAATGGAGTTATTTTAACCCACAGTAGTTGTAAAAGTAAATACTGATTCCAATAATAATAGCTCTAATTACAAAGAATGAAAATGGATTGGAGTTCTTCTGGATTTATCCGTTCCAAAAACATGTCCAATCAAAATATATGAATCTGAGAAGAAATTCTTATTATATTCGTTATCCATTTATATGGAATTTAATTATCTGTTCATATTTTTTGGCACATTTAGGACTCCATAAAAGCCAGCCTGAGATTGTTTGCATGAAAGAAAGGAGAAATGAAAGGTGACGTAACGGAAAACAGATGCAGGAACTCTAGAGAGATTTTTAATAGGAAGAGTAAAAGAACGATAAGATGAGTCTTAACTGGAACTTAACAGGAAGTAGTTTAGTTTTGGTTGCAGTTTGTAAAAAACCAAAAAAAAAACGCTGTTTGTTTTTTCATGTGGAGTGAAGATGAACTGGTGGGATCTGAAGCCTTTGTGTTTTTTCCACCACCAGCAGAGTTTCGTGAACCATGAGCTGAATAGACTGAAGCAAACTGCTTGAACTTTGACCCCCCCCCCACCATGTGGTCAGTGTGGAGATTTGACAGGTTTCTGGAAGTTGACTGAGCGGTTCAGAGGAAGTAGAAAAGAAACATTAGATGCAGGAAAGACAAAAACTAGGGGAAGATAAATGGCACGAGGAGCTAATACATGGGAAAGACTGTCATACAAGCAATGTGACCGTGGCCTTGAGGACCATGACGGGGGTTTCCTCCAACCGCAAGTCACTTTGATTAACTGCTTGTTCACGTTTTGCATTACGTGAGCTCCTCGAGTCAATGAGTGCAAGAAAAGGAGGTCTGTGAGTGCTGATAGCTGCTGAGACCAGAGAGGAAAAACAGCGGCATTGTGTGCGTTTCAACCAGTCTGTCAGCAGGCATTCATTTAAAACGCAACTTTTTGATACGCTTATCTTGAACTAAAATGTGCAGCCTTGACCTCATAAACCTCTCTTAAGGATAAAATAAGAGTGGGACACAAATCAAGGCACGCAGGACTGTAGTAAACATGAGGGTTTAAAGGCAGAAAAACTAAAGAAATGCATCAGAGTGCAAAAGAAGGCTCAACGAGAAAAGGGTTTTCTTAAGAAAAGGCCTTAAAAACCTGTGATATATATATATGCAATATTTTTTTGTGATGATGTAATCTATCAGTTAAAAGTCAAAGAGGCTTTTTCTTGTTTGCGTGGAATTTTTTTTTTTTTTTTTTGGGGTGGGGGGGTAATTTTAAAGAAAACAGTCAATAATCTGGACAAACAAGTCAAAACATTAATGTTCATTGCATTTTATCTTTATGTTGCAAAATGCTGTTTGCTGTTTGAGCTGCAGGTACTAAATGATGTCAAACTGAGGGTGCTGCAGGGCGTTTCTGTAGGAGACTGTCGCCATCTAGTGGTCAAACACGCCAACTGTTCTCTTGCTTCTGTGTCAAACTTGATTTATCTTATAGAGTTATTTTGTTTTTATTTTTGTTATAACCAAAGATATTTTTTTGTGTTGTTGCCTGGAGCAAAACATCTATTAGGGGCCTCATCCCACCAGAGGGAAAAACATACAGTATATATAGTTTAGAGGTTTTATTTAAAGGGGTTTTAACCCCAGTTTCTTCTATTATTAAACACTGGGTTAATTTTATGGAAGCAAAAAAGGGCCTTTAGAATTTAAATGAATTAATTTAATATATAATCTCTGGGTTATCATGGGCAAAAGTCCAGCATTATAAACTTTAACACGCAAGGTTTAAAAGAGAAGGCGGCCAACTGGAATATGTTAGAAAATGTTGGATTATGGGAAATGTAGTATCTATTGATTTGGAGCATTTCTTGGTAAAAGTTGAAACACCCTGACCCTTTCCTTCTCAGAATATCAGCATTTTTTTTTTATTCCTTTTTCAGTGTCTTGTAGAAATTCCCAACTTTTATGTAATTTCCAAAGACAAAACTCATTTAATAACTTAATGGTTACATGTAAATACAAGAAATTTAAATTTGGAGGTCTTTTTAAATGCTTAATTTTTAGTATGTCATTTGAAAACTTTGAGTATATAATTTTAATTATTGGTGGTTTTACTTTTTCAAGGTTAACAAATTCAGAAAACAAAATACAATTATTTTGGCCCTCTTTTGCTTCCATACTTTATAGTTGAAAGTGATGCGAAAGTCTGAATGGAAACAGTAACTGAATCTTGAAGCCATGTTGTTGCTTTTTGTGTATCTCATAAACAACTTTAGCTGTTAAAACACATCATCCCCGACTATTTGCATGAAATTTAATTTTTGGGGCACTTTAACTTTGAATTCAGGGAAAACGGGTTTTTAAAATTTAATTTTTTCTCCTGTGTACCGCGATCACATGCTCTACTTTATCTTAACATCTAACACACTATAATCTTATTATTCTTTTTCTGTTTTAACTGATGAAAGTATAGTGTGGCAGAAGTCGACGATTGTGAGGTCATTTAATAAGTTTTGGTCTCAGTGAGCTTCCGTAGGATTTTGCTCAGAGTTGGCTGTGAAATATTTTGCTTACTGTAAACAATCCTGGGCTGTTCAACATTAAAAGCATGCGTTATTTTAGATAAAACAGCAGTCGGACAGCGTCTGGAAAATAGTTTTCAGATGCCGTTTCTGATAGAAATTAGGATTTCTGAGGAATTATGTCATGGAAAGCTTTTTGGGCCAGTAGTGTTCATGTATGAAGATCAGATATAATACCTTGTATGTATTCAGAGATGTTGTTTTTAAGGCTGTTCAAACATACCTACAGTCTGATAGCGTGCAAACCATTGGCTCCTTAGTCTTAATTGAAATATTCTTATACTTTCTGTCATTTTACACTATTTAAACCTGTTTTCCTTGTTAGCATATGTTTTATTTCTTTAGATGTTGCTGAAATTTGACTATTGTTCTGATTGTTAGGCTAATTTGGATGAATTCTTTATAAAAACATCACAAAATCATCAAGCCTGTTGAATGTTAATATTTTTACGCTTCATGCGTATTTAAGAGCTTTCAGCTTCAAGAGCTTTGCTTTTCTTTGAAACTAGCTTCACATTTTCACTTTTAGTCTTTTTTTTTGTCCCCAAACTGGATATAAATTAGTGTATTATATAGGATAATATAGTGTAAAATGACAGCTCAGAAAACATTCACGAACTTTACATGTAAGAATATGTATTACTTCATTGTTTTAAATCTTTAAATCTTGTTCTTTAAAAACAAACAAAAAAACCCAAACAAACTAAACTAAATTTGTTCACAAGCTTAATTTTCTGAGCAGTTTTGAAGCTTCTCTTCTCAGATTTGTGCGCTTGGGTCTGTGGTTTGAACATCCACAAACTGTTGTGTTAAATGCCAAAGACCTGTGTTGTTGAAGCTCTTCCTGATTTTTCCCAGTGATGCTGTTTTTGTTGTTGTTGTTGTTGTTGTTGTTGTTGTTGTTGTTGTTCACCCAGACTCACTATAGAGAAGCGATACACCTTTTCAGGTTTATGATGAGCTTGAAAACACAACGCTAACTCTGTTGTTCTACACTTGAGTTAAAAAAAAAAATCTAAAGGGTTTTCTGGGTAAAAGTTCCAGATCTGAGCTGCAGTTGGAGCTCGGTCTGAAATGTCCCGATCTCTGTGCCTTTGTACAGTTCAACAGCTGCGGGCAAACCTGAAGGAGAGGCTGAAGGTCTCATCGTGTTCTCTCTCCGTAGGCTGAGGCGGGTTTATTTTTGTAGGTGATTTCAATCGTTACCAAATGTGGCCTTTCCTCACGGCAAGGCGGGCTTCATCTATTAAAGGTGAAATTATAAAAGAAACTTAAAGGGTTGTGTGATTTTTGTCTTCTGTTTCAGTTGTTTACTCATTATTTTACTCAGTTTTACTAAGAATGTGACCCCATTCCTTTTGAATTATCTGAGTGTACCTACTTGTTCTTCAAATGGTCTCACTTCAGACTTTTTATTTACAAATAAGCCATGTTGTTCAGGGCTGTGGACAAGTATTTGTCCACTTCCTGATTTCTTTGGGGTTTTTTGTGTGTATTTGTCACACTTAAATGTTTTAGAGCAGGGGTGGCAAACTCAATAGCACAGGGGGCCAAACCTCAAGGCACACTTTAGGTCGTGGCCCAGTTAAGAAAAACATTCATTGAACACACTAAAACAATGTTTTTCTTTAAAACATAAATATGAATAAAAACAGACAGGAATATAATTCAAGAATAAATAAACTTAAAAAAATAAACTTTAACTTTAAATATTTTGCTCTGCATAAAAATATATCCTGTCAAAATTATGCAAGTTAGAAATATGAACGTGCTGCCAAAACCCCAGAAAAAATAAATGAAAACATATACAAGGTTCGAGCCGCATGCAGACAGAGCTGGGGCATTGCTTCAGGAATGGAACTAATAAACTCTGAAGACCCTTCAGTGTCGTGCTTTCCCTTGAGTGTCCCATTAGACTGCAGCTCCATCTGAATCTGCACAGGTGCAGTTTCCACGTCAACTGTAAATGGATTGTGAAGCAGCTCGAAATTCTCATTTTGTGCTTCAAAGTCACCAAAGCGCCACGCGAACTCAGTGCGCTCCGTTTATCAGCAAAGTGCGCATTTGTGAACACTGTTGCGCTGACTTGGTTCAACATTACTTGGCAACAGGGAAAGTGAGGCAAGTTGCACTGGTGCATTTGTGACGGCTTCACTTGAAATGCCTTCATCGCATCATGCCATGCCCATGAACTGACAGATTTCCTTGCTGAGGTCAAAAACCCTATTGAGAATTTTTCCCCAACTCAGCCAACGGACCTCTGTATGATGGCATGTCGGCAAACTCTGTCTTTTATGTGGGAAATAGATTCAAATTGACGGTGATTTAAACCTTTAGCTCAGATAAAATTTACGGTTTGCGTCACGGTGATCATTACATGTTCCATTTTTAGGACTTTACCACACAGCGTTTCCTACCGCGGTAAAGTGAGCCGCGGTCAAGCCAGCCGCCTCTTATCCGCCGCATAAATTTCCTTGCGCTTTTACACCAGTCTTTACGGTAGCGCCTTTTTGCTTTATATCCCGATCGAAAGCCTAGACCCGCGCGCACGTGCATGCGCGCACCTCAGGTCAAAGTATGTCATGCTCTAATGTATCGTGTTTTTCTTTTCTGTGCTTTAATTTGTCTACAAAGTGAAAATAAC